TCACATTATCATGCAAAACAAAAATATTGTGGGATTAGAAAACTTACCAATTTAAACTTAGATTCTGCACATAATTTCTCCTGCGCTGGGAAACGGTCAGGATGGCACTCCCATGCTTTCTTTTTATATGCTGCTTTAACCTGCAATTATTCACATACATTGATCAAGTTCGCCTTATCGCTCAGATTGTGAGATCGCTAGTGTGCTGTTGAAAAGGTACAGAAAAGTTTGATGGTACATACTAAATAATCAAAGTAGAGCTTTAAAACCGATATAGCAGCTTACAGACAAGCATTTTGCGTGGAGGCTAATGGTCTCTTTTCCTAGACTCTCCAGTCTCCAGATTCCCAAAAGGTAAATATCAAACCATTTCAGTTTTTTCATGTGAACACGAGGCCTTGACCCACACACAAAGGATGATTTTAAATAATCTAGACGCACCTGACTATTGGCATGCTGAGATCTTCAACACAAAATAACTGGAATAACCATTTACCTTTGTTCTCGCTCTGGTGATGATACTTCAGGCTCTATCTAAATTCTTGTTGGATCTCTAATGTATAAGCAACAAGCATCTACATAAGTCGACATTCTGCTTGTTTATACGTCACTTTTTATACGATATTAACTTAAAACATCCACGCACGAGACATGGAATTGCTGAATTACATGTGAACATAACATGCATATGGCCACTACATGGTATTTGACCATAACACTGCATCAGTGTACCACCATTAAGAATATTTCCCATCTGTTAGATTTAGTGTCAATGTGTCAACATCAAATTACGGCTTAAGTTTCTTTGGATAAGTTGGCAGCATTTTTTGAATGTAACGAGCATGTCTTGACACTAGTTTCCATGAGAAGGTTGGAGATATTCATGACTACAAGTTGCATTGCACATTTGTTTATCTACACATGGGAGGTGGAAGTGTTTATGTATACTGTGTCTTTACATAAACAAAGAAATAATGTGGTGCTTTCCTACGAGCTTGGCCAAATTTGAGTAGGAAGAAACACTTGACTTAAAGGTCCCAGTATTGTTGGCCTTAGGAAGAGGGATTTAGGCATCATCAATTTCAACACCTGGAACTAAAGCAACAATAGGTAAACTGGTTTTCCAAAATAAATCCAAGACAGACTCTGTATAGTGTAGATCGGTTCACCAATCACCAAAATCTAATAAATAGTCCTTACTATGTTGTTCAGCAGTTTAACATACATAGCATTGCCATGGGGCCGGGTTAATCCTCATATGTTTTAGGAATATTACTTAGAGAGAACATATCTAATTTACTAGACAAGCAGCGCCGGGGGGTATGGCCGTATGGGATATGTGACGAACTGACGATTCAGAAGTCAATAATAAACTAATGAACTATAGTAGTTTTACTTGCGATTTTCAGTGAGAATGAATCAAATCTCCCCCAAGTAGGATTCAAACCTAAGACCAATCAGTTAACGGCCGACCGCTCTACCACCTAGCTACTGGAGGAACAATGGTAAATTCGATCTCATAGAATTTAATTCCGATCTGGCTGCTAGTTGGAGCAGGATAATATAGATCTTCAAGAGAATAAAAGTGATCCCAATGAAGAAACAAACAAAATGAATGAATGATTTCTTTCCCACATAGGTACTCAATTTAAAACAAACCTTGCCTCTCTGCCTATAAAAGAACATGGTTGGAGTCTAGTAGGCTTCCTAGTCATTCTTTCATTTGTGTATTTATAACAGAGGTTCAAAAAATAAACACTACACGCACATTGATTGAATTGCAGTGTAATCCCTGGAGTGAGCTTAGTTACTGCAAACACATAAACCAATCTATAAAACACGTATTCAACTATTCATATTCATAGATTGTGGAAACTGTTTACAAACCCAAAGATGCTGATTATAAACTCCAGGTGAGGGAATTCTTATTCTATATCACAAAATCAAATAAAACTACTAATAAGTTTGTAAATCCCCAAAACCAGTAACATGTATAACTAAAAATGATCACATATATATGTAATTGAGAAGAAAAGAATT